GGAGTATTTAACCCCAGCACTTCTAGGAGGAAGAAGAACAATAGAAATCTACTAGAGCTCAGGAGTATTATAGATGATACTTTGGTTACTACGAGTAATGACCAACACCTTACCAATCTGCTAGCTGGATTCCTACCGAGAACTAGAGTCAGAGGCAAGACTAGATTAGGATGACCTACACTTTTTCAGCGCCCGGTTGAGTTTTGGGTTTTTTTTTTTTATTTCTATATGTACCAATCTTTTACATTTTTTGGTGTGTGTTGTACCGTGTGGGTTGGGTGTTTAGGCCCACCCATACAATCATATCTGTATTTTTCTCTTTAATAAAGTTAAATGTACAGATAGGTTGGATGAAAGGGCCCAAAATGACACCTTAAAAACCCGACATATAACACATGTAGGAAATACTTGTATACCCAAAAAACCAAAATTAAAATGTAGACAGAGAAATTGTACACTAAAAGTCTGCGAAAACACGCAAATTCAGTTAGCTTGCGAATCAAATTTAGCCCTGCCTCTGCCTCTGGTTCTAGGATGAGAGTCAGCTAACAAATTAAGTTTGTTGTCATTACCCGAAACAACAAAATGTATCATCCATCAAGTTTTGGGGTAGACCTTCATTCATCATTTGAAGATTGACTCATCTGATCAGTGGATTGGTTCAAAGATTGGCGAACAGGTGTAGGTTGTTGCACATCATGGGCCCCACGTGTCTGGCTAATAGTAATAACTTGTCCTATCTGATGAGGCGGTAGAAATGCGGTAGAAATAATGCCACATGTTACATCAAAGTTAGATTCTAGGGCTGGTGAAGTATGAAATGTCTCCCCTATCCCCACGAAAACAGGTTCCATAGTAGGAAATGAGGGGACCTACATCATGAGCTTTGTGTGGCATATTACCCGTGAGGATAGTGACATCTTCAGGAGTATCCTTTTGATGATTCATGATGTCAATAACTTGGAGCTGATCAGGAGGAGAGGGAATTGCTGCCTCTGGCTGAGCACTCAACTTCGTTGGTCTTAGCTAGGGGTGTAGATGGTGACATTGAGAAATAGAGTGGCTGAACATACGACAATTCGAGAAATATGAAGGGGAAGACTCAATCACAACCCTTTGCCAATATCCATGGTGTTGTGTGTCTAACCGAAATTCCTCCGGAGCGATTTGTTCCTTCTAAAAAGTACCCTAGTTTCAGAGGGACGTGAAAGATTAAAAGTAGGATTGTTTGTTTTGAGTTGTTTACCAAAGACTGAGGCAATAAAGTACAACGCTTCTTGAATAAAATAATAAAATTTCACGTTAGAGAGATGAATCCAGACCGGAATGATTGGTGGTTCCGTTTGTGGGTCAAAATTCATTGACCATTTCAAAATTTTCATTATTTTGTTATCAATCAAGCTTAGTCTTTTAGCAAATAAGCATGTGTAATCCTTTTCATTATTTTGTTGAATAAGGATATGTCTTCCATCTAAAAGTCTAATTTTCCACTCCCCAACAAGGTGAATAAGCTCAAATTTCTCATGAATAAGCTTCATTTTGGGATGTCATAAAAGCATTTCCCGACCAAATTCTGACGACAGTAGAAAGCAAGCTGATTACATTCTGCTTCCGTAAAAAAGATGGTTGGCTTCACATTCTCCCTACCAGGTTTCTTGATGTTTTCCGCCGACGCAAATGAAGGAGGGAAGGAACACGATTTTGGAGTACTTGAGGCGTGAACACTCGCAAGGGCAGCAACATATGTTCTGTCCGAAGTTGAAGTTGCAGTGGAAATAACAACAAAGCCCGAAGGAGGTGCGACTTTCTGCTTCGAGCATGAGGAAAGAAGAGACGAAGACTGCGCCTAGAAAACGTCCTTCAAACGGAGACGAAGGACTACGGTGAGGCAGTTGAGAAGCTGTCAAAGCCGTAGACACAGGACGCCACATTAGACTAGCCCGACGAACGAGAGACCTTGTCGGGACGACGAAGCGAGCAGCTGAAGACGACACACAGCGACAACGGTGAAACAGACGGAATCAACGAAAATGACAAATGACAAGCAGTGCATGATTGACGAAAGGATGCAGTGGAGGAGAAATCAGGGTTTGCCATAAAGGCGAAACCCTAGCAGAGCGTGGTCAACATGTAGGAAATACTTGTATACCCAAAAAACCAAAATTAAAATGTAGACAGAGAAATTGTACACTAAAAGTCTGCGAAAACACGCAAATTCAATTAGCTTGTGAATCTGCCTCTGGTTCTAGGATGGGAGTCAGCTAACAAATTGTTAAGTTTGTTGTCATTACCCGAAACAACAAAATGTATCATCCATCATGTTTTGGGGTAGACCTTCATTCATCATTTGAAGATTGACTCATCTGATCAGTGGATTGGTTCAAAAATTGTCGAACAGGTGTAGGTTGTTGCACATCATGGGCCCCACGTGTCTGGCTAATAGTAATAACTTGTCCTATCTGATGAGGCGGTAGAAATGCGGTAGAAATAATGCCACATGTTACATCAAAGTTAGATTCTAGGGCTGGTGAAGTATGAAATGTCTCCCCTATCCCCACGAAAACAGGTTCCATAGTAGGAAATGAGGGGACCTACATCATGAGCTTTGTGTGGCATATTACCCGCGAGGATAGTGACATCTTCAGGAGTATCCTTTTGATGATTCATGATGTCAATAACTTGGAGCTGATCAGGAGGAGAGGGAATTGCTGCCTCTGGCTGAGCACTCAACTTCGTTGGTCTTAACTAGGGGTGTAGATGGTGACATTGAGAAATAAAGTGACTGAACATACGACAATTCGAGAAATATGAAGGGAAAGACTCAATCACAACCTTTTGCCAATATCCATGGTGTTGTGTGTCTAACCGAAATTCCTCAGGAGCGATTTGTTCCTTCTAACAAGTACCCTAGTTTCAGAGGGACGTGAAAGATTAAAAGTAGGATTGTTTGTTTTGAGTTGTTTACCAAAGACTGAGGCAATAAAGTACAACGCTTCTTGAATAAAATAATAAAATTTCACGTTAGAGAGATGAATCCAGACCGGAATGATTGGTGGTTCCGTTTGTGGGTCAAAATTCATTGACCATTTCAAAATTTTCATTATTTTGTTATCAATCAAGCTTAGTCTTTTAGCAAATAAGCATGTGTAATCCTTTTCATTATTTTGTTGAATAAGGATATGTCTTCCATCTAAAAGTCTAATTTTCCACTCCCCAACAAGGTGAATAAGCTCAAATTTCTCATGAATAAGCTTCATTTTGGGATGTGATAAAAGCATTTCCCGACCAAATTCTGACGACAGTAGAAAGCAAGCTGATTACATTCTGCTTCCGTAAAAAAGATGGTTGGCTTCACATTCTCCCTACCAGGTTTCTTGATGTTTTCCGCCGACGCAAATGAAGGAGGGAAGGAACACGATTTTGGAGTACTTGAGGCGTGAACACTCGCAAGGGCAGCAACATATGTTCTGTCCGAAGTTGAAGTTGCAGTGGAAATAACAACAAAGCCCTGCCTCTGGCTGAGCACTCAACTTCGTTGGTCTTAGCTAGGGGTGTAGATGGTGACATTGAGAAATAGAGTGGCTGAACATACGACAATTCGAGAAATATGAAGGGAAAGACTCAATCACAACCTTTTGCCAATATCCATGGTGTTGTGTGTCTAACCGAAATTCCTCAGGAGCGATTTGTTCCTTCTAACAAGTACCCTAGTTTCAGAGGGACGTGAAAGATTAAAAGTAGGATTGTTTGTTTTGAGTTGTTTACCAAAGACTGAGGCAATAAAGTACAACGCTTCTTGAATAAAATAATAAAATTTCACGTTAGAGAGATGAATCCAGACCGGAATGATTGGTGGTTCCGTTTGTGGGTCAAAATTCATTGACCATTTCAAAATTTTCATTATTTTGTTATCAATCAAGCTTAGTCTTTTAGCAAATAAGCATGTGTAATCCTTTTCATTATTTTGTTGAATAAGGATATGTCTTCCATCTAAAAGTCTAATTTTCCACTCCCCAACAAGGTGGATAAGCTCAAATTTCTCATGAATAAGCTTCATTTTGGGATGTGATAAAAGCATTTCCCGACCAAATTCTGACGACAGTAGAAAGCAAGCTGATTACATTCTGCTTCCGTAAAAAAGATGGTTGGCTTCCCATTCTCCCTATCAGGTTTCTTGATGTTTTCCGCCGACGCAAATGAAGGAGGGAAGGAACACGATTTTGGAGTAAACACTCGCAAGAGCAGCAACATATGTTCTGTCCGAAGTCATCACCAATACAAGGAGGCGCGGCGTTATGAACAGTGAAGTTGCAGTGGAAATAACAACAAAGCTCGAAGGAGGTGCGACTTTCTGCTTCGAGCATGAGGAAAGAAGAGACGAAGACTGCGCCTAGAAAACGTCCTTCAAACGGAGACGAAGGACTACGGTGAGGCAGTTGAGAAGCTGTCAAAGCCGTAGACACAGGACGCCACATTAGACTAGCCCGACGAACGAGAGACCTTGTCGGGACGACGAAGCGAGCAGCTGAAGACGACACACAGCGACAACGGTGAAACAGACGGAATCAACGAAAATGACAAATGACAAGCAGTGCATGATTGACGAAAGGATGCAGTGGAGGAGAAATCAGGGTTTGCCATAAAGGCGAAACCCTAGCAGAGCGTGGTCAATGAAGATGAAGACATCGTATTATATATATACACACACACAAGTGAATCCTGTATGTTGACAATGTGCTTAACGAATTGAAAACACAAATTTTGTTGAACTGTGATCGGAATGGATCTGGAAGTAGTATTTAGAAAATAATCTTGTCACATAAAAAATTTTTATTTCAAAATTACAAGGGAAATTCCGGTATATTAATTTGTTTCCTGTATATTTCTGATTAATGCTTATTTTATGCCTGTTACTAATAGCATCTACATGGTTGGTTTTTTTTTTTTTTGTTGTTGTTTGAACTTCTGCTCTCTTCATGTTTCCTTCCTATTATGTATAGGTTTTGGCCGTAACTGAGGATTTACATGATGTTTATAGCTTGGCAAAAAAGGCCTCTGCTGTTCATAGTTCTCTCTTGAAGGATCTTGACAAGGTTCCATCACTTCAGCATCTCAACTCTTAATTTTTTTCTTCAGGTTTGTATTCTTTTATAGTTCACATTCTCTTAACTACCATTCTCTTTAGGCGAACATGATTCTTCTGCCACTTGGAGCTTCGTTGTCCTCTGACATGGCCGCTATGAAAGATGTGATACCCTTTGGAAAAGAAACGGGTAAAGAAAGCAGCATAGATGTTCTTTCTATTCATGGACAAGCACTGTATCAATCCTACCACTTCAGACTTCAGGAGGCTTGTCAATCTTTGGCATTCTTGGTACCTTCCATCACTTGCTCCGTGAAAGAACTGTATTCCATGCTGAGCCAGCTTGCACAGGATGCCGCCACACATGCAGGCAACCTCCATAAGGTGTTATTCTTACTGCATTTTCCATTTGTTTTGTCCTGAATGTTACTTTTTGGGTCGTTTACATAAATAGCACACAATTCTTATGTATTTTCATATCTCATACCTAAAGTCTTATATTTACTCACATAACACTCAAACCTATAATATCACATAAAAAATAGCACTATTATCCCTTTCTAAAAGTCAAATACACATTTTCATGTATAACTTTAAAAATACCTAAATGCTGTGTATGTAAATATTTAAATTTAGCTGTGAGATATGTAAATACATAAGATTTGTGTGCTATATATGTAAAATTTCCTTATATTTTTATAACGAAGTTTGCATGTCTTGGGTTTATGACACCAGATGGAAAGTCTCATGATTCTCCTAAAACTAACATATCACAAATAGTTTAGTTATAACTTGATGCAAGGGTTTATAACGGTTATGAAAGTACGATTTTAGAGAAGTGAGTGTTGAAGATTAGAACGAGAGTTTATATACACTAGGCCCCAAGTGTGGAACCATAACAATCACAAAGAGGAATTAACTCAGAATAGGAAAATAAGTATAAAAAAATAAAAAACAAATGACAATGCCAAATCATTTCTTATGTGGTTCGGCATCAAATGCTGATGTCCCTGTCCCAAGCACCTCTCTTTCAGGAAATCCATAAATTCCTCCTTTGCACAATGCTGGCATAGGAGTCTTATACACCAATCCAGCCTCCTTCACTTGATGGTAGAGCCACTCCCTCTCCTCCTTCTGTTTTAAGATATTCCACTCTTTGTCTCTTGATAAAGGCACCACTTCAATTAGTCCCTAGAATTTGATGATTATAAGGCTATGGAAATACACATAAAAATAGTTAGTCTTTACAAGTAGTGCAGTAAAAGAAGAATGCTGCGATTGAGGAGAGGAAGAGATAGATCTATGTACGAGGAGAGCTATGAATGAACACAAACTTTCTTGAAGATGTAAAACTTAATCTCACTTACTTTCATTTTGAGCTGTTCCCATATTTAGAACAAATTGGGTGGAAAAGAGGAGTAAATTCCTCTTACATACAACAACAACAACAACAAACAAGCCCGCTAAGTGGGGTTGCCTACATGAATCCTTTTTCTTCATTTTATTCTATTGAGTCATATTTTCATTAATTCTAATAGATTAAGATCATTTTTAGTACAATATGCCCAAGTTTTTCTAGGTCTACCTCTGCCTTTCTTAAGTTAAGTCAAATCTAGAACATCTACTCTCCTAACTAGATCACAGATGGTCGATGTTTAATGTGACCAAACCATCTAAGACGACTCTCTCTAATCTTGTCTATCACTGGAGCTACACCAACCTATTTATTTCACATTTTGTCTCACATTTTGTCTCTAGTGTCAAGCCACTCATCCACCTAAGCATTCTCATCTCAACAACACTTAACTTTGTTTTATGTTTCTCTTTTAAAGGACAACTTTTGCGCCATAGAGCATTGCAAGTCTCATTACCATCTTATAAAATTTTTCTTTCAGCCTAAGTGGTACTTTTCTATCACACAATAGGCCCAATGCATTCATCCACTTCAACCTACCAACTTGAATTCTACTAAAAGTTGATCATGAATAAAAAAATTCCTCTTACATGAATAAAAAAAATTCCCCATGAAAGTCTCTTCAAGTTTTAACACTTAATCTCCCCACAAAACTCTCTTCAAGTTGTAACTCTTGATCTCATTTGCCTAAATCTACCCATAAAATTGATTCTCTAGCTAAACCATTGAGGATCCGGATCTATCCAATTCTATTATTATTCATTAATTGAAATAAGCCATATGCTTCTCTAAATGTTGTCCAATAGGATAATCCAAATATATATTCATCCTCAATGAGTTACTCCATTAATTCACACATTAAGAGATCTTAATCCCTGATGTTTCTTCTCAAAATAATTAATACTTAAGTCAATATTTATCCCCACTCAAATAAAGCTTCAATCTCTCTAGTGTAGTTTATCTACAAGCTAATAAATCCAACTAGAGGGTGGACATGTCTTTACGAATCCTAAATGTCGCATGCCCAGCAAAGTTTCACCAAAGTTTTACATCTATAATTAAAATGCTAGCAAGTAGCAGCTTGGGCTAGCAATGTTTTCTCGTGGATTTTAACCAACCCATGCAATGTATCCTCGATAAATCAACTTGCTAGTTTGCCAACGAAGATATATACTCTCGTGGATTTTAACCAACCCAAGCAATGTATCCTCGATAAATCAACTTGCTAGTTTGCCAACTAAGATATATACTCATTTTGTTAGAAAGTCTAAGGGAGCTATCCATCATGCACTATTCAGTTGCCTGTTAGGCTAACTCATCAAAAATTTTAGTTAGAGCTTTATTCCCCAATTCATATGAGACTCATATTGAAATTCAATCTAAATACCAATAGTGAGTTGCCCAGTTGACTGGCAGCCGCCCATCTACAATGTTGTATCCTCAACGTCTCCCTTATCCATACAAAGCAAAATAAACCCACTTGATATCCCTTCTTGGTGATTGAAAATGCATGTAAATAATAATCTATGGGAATATTAACTCAATCAAAAACTAAATTTATGCTCCCATATCTTGCAAATTCGCTAAATTCCCCTAAATTTATACCTCACCAATCTCCTTAATATTTAGTTTGAGGTCTAACCCATTCAATCTTCAAGCCGACAAAAAAAATAATTATGTCGAGCGAGGAATGATTTGTAAGCCAATTTAGTTGAGGAGATGAGAGGACCATACACTAACAAATCTATGATTCGGTGGTTATAAAGTTTGGATTCAACAAGCTAAATAATTTAGAACATCATGTAGACCAGATAAATAAAACCAAATGGATAATTAGAAGAACCCAAATAAGTGCCCAATCAAGCCCGAACATATTAGCCATTAAAGAAAGAATAAATAAATAAATATCAAAATTTAATGTTTAAATGTCAAATTCTTAAATTTTGAGTTTTCATTTCAGAGATCATGAATGGATTGGTCGCTTAATAAATATTGGAAGATAAAATGAGTTAATTAAGGTGGTTGACACATTCTTCTATTAATGGTTACCATTGTTCTTTTTCTCGAAAAAAAAAATCTTTTTTATTATGGTGTTCTTAAGAGTCATTACATACTTTATAAATAGTGCTGATCTATGGAAAATTTTAGCTTTGAAATCATACTTTACTTGGTGCTTGCCAGCTTGGTGGTCTAGCTTGATTTTTAGATAGAATTGATTAGTATTTGCTAACCTTCTCAGCTATCATCGCATCTTGCTATATTTTCAAACCAATATTTTATCTATACCTTCAAACTCACTCCAAAATCTACTTTACAACAATCTGCCAACTTCAGTGGAAAACTATCTAATCTCATTTTTCCACACTATCAGAAGGCTTTTAACTCAACTGAACTCCATCATTTACTCCAAATCATAAATTTATATTTTAAAATAATCCTTCACCATCATTTTTCCTTATTTTGATCACTTAAACTTATCCTTAAAAATTAAATTTCAAATCAACTCAAATTAGGTTAATCTAGACTAGGCTTGGTCTTCTCTTAGTATTCTTTCCACCATACAATCTAATGGTCGCACATTTTTATTATCTACTCGAAATCATGAGTTAAAATTTTAAGTAAATACTTATTATAAATTCCACCTATTTACGCCACTTAAGATTCATTCTCTATTATCATCAGATAACTTAGCCTGACTTGTCCAACTTGGACTGCTCTTAGCATTTCTTATGCCAAAACCTTCTCAAAATGTCACCAAAAAATTCAAATCACATTCCAAAAACATGAAACTAATGACTCATAGCTAAAATGCCTCGTTTCAATGGAGAAAATGAGGCAGTCAAGGAGAGGGAGACAAAGTGTGTGGTGGTGAATCCGTTCTATAGAGCAATGCGTACGAAGGGAGGTGAGACGAGATCAAGACACTTCGTAGCAGATGCCGACTCTAAGTGAGAACGACTTACTTATGGGGTTAAACTACACATTCGAAGACAACGACGACGTGAAGTTGATTGTTAAGGAAGGTTCATCAGGAGGCTAAGGGAGAAGAAGGTGAGTCTGTTTAAGCCCTAGTTTGAGGGACAAAAGTGTTCTCACGTGAAGTTGTCGATTGGAGCCAATTGGGAGTTCACCTGCGGGAGAGGAACCGACAAGAAGGTCTCACACAGGTGTCTTGTGGGTTTCGAGTAGAAGAGGGAGCCAATTGGGAGTTCACCTGCGGGAGAGGAACCAACAAGAAGGTCTCACGCAGGTGTCTTGTGGGTTTCGAGTAGAAGAGGTGTAGTTAAGGACTTGTCAGAGGTAGGACTTTTATAATTAAAGTTAAAGAATGTTTATTTTATAAGATTTGGGTTAACAATGTTATTATTAGAATTTGACGAGCATTGTGATAGTGCAGCGGTTGTGTCAATTCGAACCGAAGAAGAAAAAGGAGAAGCATCGAGTAGAGGAGAGGAGAGGAGGAGCCATCATGCGTGGATTTGATTAATAACAAGCTGAAGCCTGTGAAGGGTGAAGACGGGCCCGTTGTCGAAGCCGAAGCAGGGAGCGACTCTGCGTGCGTGAGTTAATCGAGTAATTATAAGGTAAGGGCTTTAAAAATATTAATTTATGAATTTAATATATTATTAATTATTAATTATTAATAGTAAGGTTTAATTAAACCAGGATTCAAAGCTATAAAAGTTTCAAAGTTGGATTAAAAGAAGGTCGGCGGCAACCAAAAAAGATTAGGGTTTTAATTCTGAAAGTTTTTTTGTTTAAATTAATAATATTCAAATTTTAGTATTAATTACAATGATTAAACTTAAAGTTTAATTATTGAAGTTTTAATTAAAATAATGTAATAAATTAATAATTAATAATTAACTAAAACATAATTAAGTAATGTGATAACAAAATTATTGACATAAATATTTTATATATAATAGTTCAATTGAAGGAGTTAAAACTTAAGAAATAAGTTGTAGAG